TACTTTAAAATATCTCATTTTTTCAAGCTAGTTTACAACACTAAATTTTAACCCCATCTCCCTGGCACAGGTAACAAAGTCTCATACAAAACATGACCTAAAAAAAAAAAAGAAATCTTTTGATCTGAGCCAGTTCAACCACACAGTAGGTCTCAAATATTGTATCAGAGATTGCATGAGGTCTTCAAAGGAACCTAGTTAATACAATAATCTCAATAGTTTGCACAGAGGTCATTAATTCGAGTGAGAAAGGGGCAACAACGTAAGAAGGGAGTGCAAAATTAGAAATTGTAAAGAAAAAAAACTCAGAAGGTGAGGCAAAAAAAAGGGAAAAGGTGATACCGCAGAGGGGAGAATAAGAGGTGTGAAGGAGGAAAAGATAAGTGCAAATGACAAGAGAACAAAGTAAAGTTGAGACTGAAGGCAGCAGAAGAGGAGAGGAGCGAGGAATAGAAGCGATTCAAAGCAAAAAGAGGAAAAAAAGGGGAATGAAATCCCTCTTATGGGTGTTTGTGCCTCCTGAGAAGGTCACAGATTGAGGAGATGAGTGACCTTGTGGTCATCTGTCAGCCCCTCTGACTATGCTGGAGGCAGGATATCTCTCCAGGGAAAGGACACACTAGAACACACACACGCATGCACACACTTGAACTCACAAACCATCGTACAGTATACTGAGGAGAACATATGCATACTCCCACATTCTCACTCACACGTTTGCACAGGAACAAAACAAAAAGGATGAAATCATTTGGAGCACAACACAAAATACGTGTTGTGAGGCAACTGAAGAGAGACTGCACTCTTTGCAATGAACAAACAAGATCGCTTCATGTCACATCCTGAAGGCTTTCACTGTAAAAAACTGCTGCCGTCAACTTTTCTGTACTAGGCTGTCTCATACTGGTTCCCAGAGGTTTGTACACAGGCACAGTTTTACATATGTGACACTCACATGAGAGGAAAACATGTTTTTCTATAGATATTTTAAATGTAATATCGTGCACAGGCCAACAGACTGATTTTAAAGGACTTCAGACAGGGACAGGGATATCTGGCAGTAGTTAAAACTGCATCTCGTGCCCTTCATCAGCATGTAATCATGAAAACCATCAGCCTGCGGTCACCACTCAAAATGTATATAGAAAACTGAACAGTGAACAATTTTCATTACTATTTTATGCACATAAAAAACAAATGTAAAAAGGAAAATGTCTCTTTGAAAACGTCTGTTTCATGTTCTGTGCAGTCGCTCCAGAAATCAAATGGCTCTACACATTATCAAAGGAAATTACATTAGCTACAATACTGAACTTTTTTTCCCTCCTATGATTACACTGTATTTGTTCTCAAGGCACGAGGCCAGAGCTTGTTTTACACATATATATATACATATATATATATACATATATATATATATATATATATATATATAGGATATATAAGATATATTTAAGATCACTTAGGCCTTAAACCTTTTCGCAGTGGGTCCCTTGCAATTATTTTAATGGGCTCTGGGGATCCTATGTTGTTATTAGGAGAGGAATGAAATGATCATCTTGGCTAAAGCAGCAGCTGACCACTAATACATTGTCTCATTATATCTTGTACTCTCATCTTGGATGGCAGCGCTGTGGCAAGGAAAGGCCCATTATGAGAGGAAGCTAGCATGAGGTAAGTAGTGCTCTTCATAATGTGTGGGACAAAGACACAACCTTTGTAGTTTAGCCTCTGTAACACCACCATAGTGGATTGTAAATCAAACAATCAATATGGGGCAGACTAAAGGGCAGACTTTCCGCTCTAATTCAAAGGGTTTTAGAAGTTTGTTTGCTCTGGGTTTTTTGGGTTTGGTTTTTTTTTTTGCATGAATTGTTGAAGAATTACAGACATTTGAATCTACAGTCCCCCTTTTTTAGAAGTTCAAAATGAATGGGACAATGGATCAACAAGCTGTTTCTTGGCCAGTTAATGTCAGATAGGTTTGATAACTTTTAGAGGTCTGCAGAAGGGCAGGTCTGAACACCCAACAGATGCTCAAGAAAACTTGACCTTTGACCTTCACCTTGAGGTCGAGGTCACTGAGATTCTAACTGGTCCAAGATGTTTAGCAGATGAATCCATGGTATCAATTTCAAAATCCTAATCGCCTTGTTCTCGAGTTACCACTTCCACAAACTTGACTGTCCACCCTGTCTGCCCGCCCGCCGGCATGGTGACAACACCCCAGTCGGCATGTTTATGCTGAGGGATAAAAAAGGAAGTGCCGAGCTCTCCAGGGCCAAAATAATAAAATACAACCTGACACACTATTTAATAACAAAAACTCAATATCCTACATAATCAATCAAAAACCACTATCTTTGGCTCCTCAGTCACTAACACTGGAATTGAACAGATAACGGACAATTAACAGGTAACAACTGGCAGTATTTGTGATGAGGGGTGTGGCAGACCCAGTCTGAAACCAGTGGATCTGACACTATGATAAAATAGTACAAAGCATTAAATATGACAGTATTAAGTGGTCTTTTCATATCACCAGGAACTTTAATATCGCTTAAAGATAAACAGACACTATATGTACAGCTGCAGAGCGTGCATTAAGCAGACATGTCTTGGTACAATATTTTTCAGCTGCTGTTGCCTTTGGGTCAATCGAACTTGCTCACTGCCAGGTAGATCCCACTTTTCCTCTCTTGCCTCCTTGCCAGTAGTGTTCGCATCTCTCTCTACACCTCCTCCATTTTGCTCTCCTGCAGTGTATTTTCTGCGTGTTTCCATCCAGCTTGACTGTGTTGGCTTCTTCCTCTCACTTCCCACCCCTGAAGAAAACTCTCTGTTGAGTTTGGACACACTGAAGCGTTTCTGTTGTTGTTTACTGGTAAAACAGTGCAGTGAGACTTCTGAATCAAATTGTGAAGCCCATGAAGGTTCCAGTCCTGTACTGCTTATTAAAATATGGCAAGTGCCCAATAAGGGAGTGTCTCTAACATTTAAAAATCTGGGAAGCAGATATTTTATCAGCCTTGTTTTATGGCGAGCCAACACATGTTGGCCTGGTTAGCATGCTGAATGCCAAAAGTTAAAATACCATTCGACACGCCGTGAAAGGAAGACTAAACGTAGACCAAACCCGACTCCAATCTGAGGAGGCCTGATTGTATATTTTACAGTATAGGAAAACAAATGACAAGGTCCTGTTCATTCCTGTTTATTTCCTCATGTTTATTTGGACGAAAAAGCCCCCCACAAGTGTTAGAGACATTATCAGACAGAAAACAAAATGTTTATGTCTCACATATGCACGGTTTACATAAGCATTATTGTATTGTTGCTTAAACAACACAGAAAATCCCCAAACACTTGTGGACGTCATGGAGGAAGCTCGGGAAGAATGGAGGGCGGATCAAGACAAAGGCAAAGAAAAGGCCAAGATATTTTTATTATTATTGAAAAGTGGGAGTTTTTTGAATGCTATGCGCGCACTAAACGTGGCGGTTTACAAACGGATTACAATGCTTTGCTGAGGTAAATCAGAAATCTGTCTATCGCAGGAATCTGCAGCGTGCCGCGTTTACATCATTGCTCTGACGTTTCACCGGATTACTCATGTCGTGTGGGTTTGTGATCAGAACTCCAAACAAACAACCTGCAAAGGCAGCTGCTGAACACCGTCGCAGCAGGAGTTTTATCACAATCGTTTCTCAAACCTGGAATGCTAATTTGAGATAAAGACCAAACTCTGTAAACACATTACCTTGGAAACAAGCCCTTGGCAAAAGCCTTTTTTTTCTCCCCCCTCTGCTGCAATGCTGATGTTAATTTTCCACCGCTGCCTACAGGATTAGAAGTCATCAAAACGCGAGGAAGAGTTGTGAAACAGCGCTCACTGTTTTGAATCCAATTTCAACAATGTCTCATTTTTGAGCAGAGAGAAAATAATCAGCCTTTAGATTCCCATTTTGACTTGTTACAGTGCAATCTAATGAAAACATTAAAGATCTTTATGCTGTTAAGGAAATACAGGACAAACTGGCAGTGTTTCCAGTACCGTAGCAGGTATAAACCTTTCTATAAGCTCCCTGTGTTTCACTTTCTCCCTCCCCTGTTGATTCCCCATAACTCACTCACTACTTGTCCTCACTCCCTCCATCCATCTTTCCCTTTAACCTGTCCTCCCAAACCCTGTCACCTTTGCCACACTCATTTTCCTGTTTCTCTTCAATTTTCTCGCCCAAGTTTTACGGCCCTTTTCTCGCTCTTTCCCGTCCCTGCATCATCACCTCCCTCTCTCCTCCTCTGCCTCCATCCTTCTGTCTGTCTCTCGCTCGCTCGCTCTCCCTCTCTGACCCAGAGGGCCATGTTTCGCTGAAATCCAATCCTCTCTCTTTTTTAAACCTGCTGTTCCATTTCACTCCCATTTTGTCACACTGCAGTGCACACACAATACCCGCTCCTCCCTAATTTCAACTCTCCTCTCCGTCTCCTCACACACACACACAGATGTGATCACACTTTCATACACTGACATTAACAGACATTTGCGCAAAGGCATGAGAAAAATTGAAAAAGTGAGTGGGGGAGGGGGGAATCTTAATTAAGCCATCAATCAAGCTTGATGCTTATGATTGGATTCATACACAAGCGCCCATACACACCTTCCAAATCGCACGCCCACACTTGCAGCTCAGCGGCCATCCATCACAGCTTCACTGACTCCGTTCAACCTCAACTCAGAACCAATCACACAGAGGTTAGGGACTAACTTGTGCATGTGTGTGTATTTGCGTTACAGAAAGAGAACTGACACTGAAGTGCATCATGTCTGTAAAGCCCCTTTCAGCAGAGCTGTGGGAGAGGCAGAACACAGTGAACTGAGATCTGTACAGTTCACTGTCAAACAGTTCTGACTACTAATAGTATGTGACGGAGAGTCAGCGCCATTCTGAAACACCACGCACAAACACACACATCTCTTTTAGTACTTTAGCAATGTTATTCTATTGAAGGCAGGAAAGATGGTTTTTATTTTACCTTTATTTTGAATAAATACGTCCAAAAGTACAGCAGGGAATACAATGCCTATGCAAAAAACATTTTTTAATATGTAATAAACACAATTTTCTTGTGAGACTGGAAGTAGCAAGACTTACTGACAGTTTTAGTGTAGTAGTGTTTCTTGGGATCCAAATAATAATGCATGTATAGTTTATTAACAGTATCACCGCTGTTTGTCTTTTAGCTTTTTATTCAGTTTTAGTGTCGTAGCACCACAACCCGAGAAAGCATCAGTTATTCTTTGGTCCTGTTTTCCTTCACTCTGGTCCTTTCCCTTGTACTCTGTTATACAAACGATATGATATAAAGCAAATGTGTTTTAAAAGGTTTGGTCTATGAGCTAATGCGCGTCACTGAAAAATTACCCTGACATATCAGAGTGCTAACAATCCATCTGGTTTATTTGTTGCCCTGGTCAGATACTGAGCACAGAAAATCCTTTTTCTCTCTGTGACTCTCGCCACAACCAGATCCCGTCCTCTTACTGCTGTTTGAGAAAAAGAGCAGCTCCACACTGTATCCACTGGTTGGGGTTCGCTCCACAGGGCAGAGAGATGTGCGTGACCACCTTCACCCTCTCAGAGCTGGTATAGAGAGGCAGACAGATACTCTCCTCTGCTGCAGTGCAGGCAGCAACAGAGTTCTAGGATGAAGTAGACATTTAGTGTATGAGCGTAAGTATGCACAAATACTGTATAGTCACAGAGTTTTATGCTAAATGATTAAAAATTGACATATCTCACAAACGTGATAACAAATAAATGACAACTTTCTGCCACTGCAATGTAACTGATTAGATAAAACATATAAAACTTCAGTCATTGGTCAGTGAAGACCTGGCAAACTCTGGTCACTAGGGAAAATGTGAATTCCTAGACCAGTTGGCGAGTGGTTGCTGGAACTTGCTGGCTGCCTCTAGGTTAAATCAGTCGCAAAGAGAGATCAAAGCAATCGCATTTCAGTGTAGCCTCTTTGCAACCAATCTCACAGCAACTACTCGCCAACCAGTCGAAAGGTCTCAAGACCAGCCTGTAGAGCCCAGTCAACCTCTTAAGTCTGACATCATTAGCCATTTCTTAGCCCAGCAAAGAAGGAGGATGAGGATTAACTTTTTTCCCCTCAATAAACGTTCATGTGCGGGTCCCCGATAGGCAGAGACAAATGCAATCACATGGTAAGAAGAAGACGCCAAAAACTGACCCAACTTCAGCAAGAGAAGACCTGAGACGATCCATCTACAACATGAGTTTAGACATTAATATGCTGCTGCATGGTTTGGATGACTCGCTATGAACAATTCTTAAACCTAAGCTTGATGTCCACACTGAAATTTTAGTCAGAGCGATTCTTTTCTGGAGCACTCATATATTTGGTGTCCGGCAAACCAAGAGTCTGTGGGCTGTAGTTACGTGGAAGGGTTTTAAAAACTGACCATAAAGACATGTTGCACATGAATAGTGCTAATAAAAAGCCAGAGAGGCCGACGATGACCACTAATTATTTTTAGGGACTGACCGAAGATTTTTAAGACCAATACTAATATTCGGTCTTTTACAAATATGGCAAACAGACAAATGTTATTTATTTCATATGTTATTTATGAATTGTTACTAAAATAATTAACAATCCAAGTTAAAAATAAACATGTCTCAATGTCAACACTGAAGCTGTATAGCGCCCTCTGTTGGACAAACTATGCAACATCAACACTGAAAAATGTTCTAACGCAGTTGAAAGACGATCCTCTCGTCTCTTCATTACTTTTTAAATTAGTATTTATCAGCTGTTACATGTTAGCAAATATCAGCCATATCAGTCAGATATTTGGCTGGGCTCTACCTGTGTGACTGAAGCCTAAACAGCAAAAAACTCACATCTGCACAAATCCCCAGAGTGTCCTCCAGACTTTGTGTAATTTTGATTAAAATTCATATTTCCACCATAACGCAACATCCAAGGCCAAAGAACAAGTACTTCATTAACAGAGTAGTCAACTGACATGAGAGCACCTGGCAACTGTTTAAAAAATGATCTAGTCATTTGTGTCACTTTTCAAATAAAATTGCAAACAATTGCTGCCAAAACCCTAAAATGTAAACAAAAAGAATTCTGTTTTATACAACTTATTAGCTTAAACTGTACATGGTTGGGTTTTGAAAGACGACATTGCTGTGGGCTTTGGAAATCTTGAACAAAACATTTAAGATGATTACTGTCAGGTGCTGCACAGTGTGGTTCTCTCTTTTAAGAACACATGCATACCTGTGGAACCCAGGCCATGTAGCACGTAGGGACAGCTGACACGCTGGGAGAATCATGCTGGTTCTCACAAAGATGGACACCATCAAAACTGCAACCCTCCAACTGGAGACCTCCAATCTACAAAGAAAATGGAAATGATAAGATGAACAAGAGAAACAGACACGCGAAAATGGAACAACGGGAAAACAGCTACTCTGTGACTTAAACGCTGAACGCTGGTGGGAGCCCTTCCCAGATTAACTAGCATGCTACATACTACATGAAAGAGACATCAAGTGAAGTCAGTCTAGTGACTCAGGGATTTTCCACAGTAGGACAGACAATAAAGGGAACTCTGGCGTCAAATCAGACACACACATACAAGTATTATATCACCATAATCTGGGAAAGAAAAACCCAGAGAGTGAGAGCAAGACACAAATCCAGAAAATGTTTTTACATATTGTGTGTGTGTGTTTGTGTGTGTGTGTGAGAGAGAGCTCATTGCTTCACAACAATTATATCCTTTCACTTTCTCTGTCAGACGTCTGAGTGTTTTCCCCTTCCCTCCCTGCAGCTGCAGCCTCTTTGTCAGCACCAACACCCTTTCCTTCTCTCTTTGTGTATTTTAACTAAGTGCATGTCAAACTGTGCCAATTTTTATTGGCATGAGAGTAATAGAAGTATTGCCTCAAAGTATTATATTAAAGACAGTCATATCACCCTTAAATCAGAGCATAAAATGAATAACTGATGACTGAGAGGAGTGCTGCACAGTTCTGTTTGGTCAGAAAGGACTAGAATTACACAATATATCCAAAACGCACCAGAGACCTGAGCTGGCTGCTGTCAGCAGCGGCCTTGTCCCTAATAAAGGCTTTACTCACACCAGGGGGATCTTTGCACATTTCCAAAAGTGCAGTTTGGGTTAGCTGAGTGATCCCCATGTCCCAAAATCAGGCATAATTCTGGGTAACGTACCCTTCTTAAAGAGTTGAGTTCTGGCACAATGGCTAATTCTTTGCTTTTCTTTTACCCCCAGTCTCTCCTTTTTCTTCAGCCTTGTAACTCCTGCCTCCTTATCTGCATCTGTATCTATTCTTGCTGTCTTCTCCTCCAATAATTATCACTCAGCCAGTGTACCTTGGTTATAGCACTTATATTCTTCTGTAGATGGAGGTGAGGATCTGATGTTTGCATGCATGAGCAGTAGATGACTGGCTTTACCTTTACTTGTAGTTTTGCTTGTGCAATTGGACTCCTCCATGACGAAACAAACACCAAACTATCCATAGAACAGGACATGGTCCTTAAAAAAAGCAAAATGAATATATGTATTTTTAACATTGATATATACACTTATTCAATCCCCTATGAAGGTGTCCAGTGTGTGTGTGTGTGTGTGTGTGTGTGTGTGTGTGTGTGTGTGTGTGTGTGTGTTACCTGGCAGTTTCCTGTCTCAAAGCATTAAGAAAGGTATCAGGGTGAAATAGCTCAGATAGATCTAGGATGTCTGACAGGAGTGCCTGTCTATTTGCACGTTCCACCCAACTCTGTATGAAAAGAAAGACAGAGAAACAGAAACAGAAACAGAGAGATGTGTAGACACAAAGATTAATGAGCCAAATACTTTGCAAATTACAAATAAAGACTCAAAGCTAACACATAATGCAGGCATAAAATCTGTTACACAAAGGCGTCACACAGTTTTATGTCACATGGAAATACGACACAGATTTGAATTCTAAAAAACGTGTTTACGTTACATGCTTGTGCTTCTCATAAAATAAAACATACAGTTAGATCCATGTGCTTTTGGGGTTTTTTTTGTGTGTGTACCAGAGCTTATTCTAGTTTCAGTTAAATAATGACTATGGGCTTAAAGTGTAGCACAGCTTTAATTGGAGGGGTTGAACAAAAAAACCAAACACAAACAAAAAGTGCATGAACCACAGTAGGTGTCTTTATAAACAGAGGCTCAGATGTAATTGGATACATAATTATAAAGCTGTTTTATGGCCAAGTGTGGGCTACATTTTTTCATAAATTAGGTAGGTCAGAGGTCCGGATATAAGCTGAAGAGTGGAAGCTGTTTGGGTTAATCCAAAATATGCTGTCAAAGGAGCACTCACTGCAGGAGGAACAGGCCGTCCTCGGGCTACATACACTAAACAAATCCAACAGAGAGGTAGCAGGGACTTTAGGAGTGGTCAGATCAAGAATTGAGTGCATTTGGGACACACCGGTGAGCACCGCAACATAAAAAGGTTTAGACATCCACTGAAGATAACAGTGCCAGATGACCACAGGGTCCTTTCCTATGAAAAAAACCCTTTAGAACATTCAGCCGAGTGGAAGGACAGTCTCCAGGAGGGGACATATCATTATCCAGGTCTACCATAAAGAGAAGCATATTCATTACAAGATGCAAACCAGTCACCAGCCTCAAAACAGAAAGAACATATTAGACTTTTCCATAAACACAGCGTAGGACTTTGTTCATTTAAAAACTGCATTTTATATTTGTTTGGGTCATCTTTCTCTAAAATTAAAGCTTGTTGTGATGATCTGAAACAGGTGAATGTGACAAATATGAAAAAAATAAACAAAACGAAAGAAAACAAAGAAATCAGGAAGGGGGCAAATAGTTGCAATCCATCAGGTTTTGAGAAGTAAATTAGCGGAATATTCTGCAGAGTTAATCACCTGGTCTGAGTCGATCAACAACAACTGAATGGAGCAGCAGTAATGGCCAAAAACACACACACACAGCAGGAAAACCATTATTTGGGGATCATTTAAAGAAAAGGATTTTTACAAAGTATTTATTAATATGTTGATTTGTCCAATTACATATTGAACCTCTAAAAACACCGAGCTGTTCAGAAAAACATTTCAGCTAATATTTTTATTCAAACCTTTAAATAAAAGGTGAAAGGTTGAGATTCAAACTCATATTCATCATGTAACTGTAACTTGACCACATTTTGGTGAACAGCTAAAATAATACATAATGTCACAGTCCAAAAACACATGGACCCAGCATGTATCTTTCAGTGGAATGGTTCCTAAATTGGACAGAGTAATTTTTGTCTCAGTTATTGTGTATTTGTAAAGTGAAGCCAAAGGGTTACAAAGGAGAGAATAAAATGCACAGCCTAATGTGGCTAATAGACCATTTAATGCCTCACCTTTTTATCACCGCATCAACAAGCTGATAAAACTGGAACACCAATTATGCACTAATGGGAACATAATACACATACAGACGCACGCCCACAAACCTCGCAAAGCCCAACGCCATTTTATGAGCGCGTGGACAGGGTTAGTGGTGTACATTTACTGAAGCACTATTCTGAGGTACAGTTTTAATGTACTTGATTAAGGTATTTCTATGTAACGCCATTTCTATTTCTATCCTTCTCTTTTAAGTAATGAGTATGTGTTTCAGCACTTTGTAAGAGAGTAATTAAATACAAAACAACGTGCAGTGCTGCTTTTCCCAAAGTATATCTGTACAAGGTCTGCGCATGAGACCAAAAACCATGCAGAATATTTTCTACAGCAATTTCTTTACTGTATTTATAATCAAGTATTAAGATTTGCCACCCCAACTTTAAAAATAATCCTGGAAACACTCCCAGATTCTTGGGTTTTGTGCAAAAACAGTAAAATAAAATAAATGCTTAACCCAGACAAACAGTGATGTTAAACATAATTCTTTGTGTAACTCTGCACAGATGGACTTGGAGCTTTGTTAGCCCCGTCCAATATGTTGATGCAGTCTGCTATATTCAGCAACATCTGCTTTGATTAGATGTCGGCCATCTATTGTGTCACAACAAAAAGGGATAAAAAAAATTATTAAATTGTGTGGCAAGCAAAAATACTTTATTACTGGTAAATGTTGCAGAGCACAACTGATTTCACTGTGCTTTTAAACTTTATAAATACAAAAGATTATTTAAGCCCGATTGGCTTCAGCTCTAAGATTTAATGTCAACTGAAGAAAAATGCTGACAAATGGAGGCAGAATGAGCAAACATTTTATCTGTCCAATAGAGATCCAATCTCTTTTATTAATAGATTCACTTTTACCACAGAATCAGTCTGCACTGGCTTTAGAGATAAACTGAGATGAGCTTTATGTCAAGAAGAAATGTGCATAAATCCTAGCTTCACATACACACAAGTACACACTTGCAACCGGGCGCATGTGGGCACACATAATCAAAGCGAGGCATGCACCAAGAAAGATTTGGATGCATTAATAATAAAGCGAACCGAGTTGTGCTGATGTTGCTCATGCTATTTGTGCGTATATACTGTATGTGTGCAAGCATTTGAGTGCTGTCAAGGTCGTCCTGTTCGTCTGGGTGCACTGCTGTGCTGTTGGCTTTTTATTCTTCAGCAGCTCCACACAGCTGCAGCTCTGGAAGAGTCCGCCTTTATTGCGCTGATTAGCTAATAGAATACAGACATGCTGCAAACAGAGATATCACTCAGTGCTGATGGGCAGAAACAGACAGTTAAGGACAGCGCAGCCTCTAGACAGACACATACTAAGACAGATGGAGTGTAGGTAGACAGGGAGGCTAGAAGACAGGGCAAAAAAAAGAGAAAAAACAAAAATCGAGTATCAGGCAGACATACACGCAAACAGATGGGTAGACAGGCAGGCCAGCAGACAGACAGAGGCAGGGAGGCTCGCCCACGCAGATAATGAAATGCATCCACACAGAAATAATTTCTGAACGTGAGGGTGTATGTGTGCATTCTAGTCTGCCAGAACATATTGAAGTACAGTCAGACACAGTTGAGCGGAGATAGAGGAATTTCCGCCAGAACCCTTATTTCCTGGCACCAACCTAAGGCTGACACTTCCCAGAACCTCCTGCTTTTATAGAATAATCCCCTTTTATTTATGTACCCCTATTGAAAACAACAAGAAATTTTCTGGCAGCGTTTTAATAAACACATTGCCTAGACCACCCTGTATGTCATAACGTAAAGTACCGCAAATTCAGCTTAAAGGCCTCTTGTTGTTTTGAGATCCGTTTATAAAAAGTGGAATTCCACTTCATATTTTATGATCTCTGAAATGCGAGGTTCTCTTTAAATCCTTTGGAATTAAAATTTTTAGAAAAGAAATCTGTTAATATTCATCACTGCTGAATGACAAAGCTCTGGGTAGGATAAATGCATGATGAATTTAAATGGATCCCTCAAAGGCTGATTAGAAAACTCTTATACTTCTTAAGTCTCCTTCCGTTGAGAGCAGCACTACAGAGGATTCTCAAGGCCATCTCAATTTTTAACTCAGGCCATCAGAAAATACCATGTGTTGTTGAGGACAAAGGTGCTCTTATAGTAGTGCGCTCTTGTGAATTTCAGCCCGTGAAGAAATAATTAAAACTAAATGGTAACAACTGTTACACACTAAGGTGCAAAGCCTTTTTCTTTTGCTTCTATGGAGCCACAATTTCTTTTCATTTTTCAAAGTGATCTCAAGCAATAGTTCTTCACATTTTTTTGAAGGTCTTTCAGTGTTTTTCTTTGGGCATTGGCTGCTTTTACGCTCAGTTTCACTCCAGTCCTTGTGCCTGACCATTTTCAGGGAAATGTTTGGGTTTCTTTTTGGTTGTCAAGCCACTTAAACACTGACCTATTATTCATTCATGTGTAGAAAATGACACCTAACATTAAGAGATAAACCTGTGCAAAGAACCAACACATTATTTACAAAAGTGGAAAAGACAACACATATATTTGCACGAACAAGGTGATTCCAAAAGAACAATTAGCCAAAAACGTGCCATATCTCGGAAGGGTGTATAGAGTTTCGTTAAAAAGCCTGAGCGAACTGGGTAAGTAGAGTACAGGACTGTCACAGTCCTCTATTTCATCTGACCCTTCAGTTGATCCATCTACTGAAGCCTCATCAGAATTGCTCTCTGTGGAAGGGGAGCTATCAAGGAGCCATTCTTGAGGAAAGGAAACAGGGAGAAAATGCTTAGGTATGCTAAATTACTGGACTGAAAATCAGTGCCAATAGGTCTTTTGGAGTAATGGATCCAAATTAGAAATTTGGACAACAGCGAGTGTATATAGCCATTTATAATACATGATTGAAGCTCTGACATGTGGCTGTATTTCAGCCAGTGGGGTTTGGGATCTTGCCAAAATTTTATGTAATTTTTCAACACTGCAAAGTACTATCAGATAATGAACCACCATGCAATACTATCTGGAAAGCGTCTGATTGGCAACAGTTTAAATTTTCAAGCATGATAATGATCCCAAACACACTGCCAGTGTAGTAAAAACATACCTGGAGAGTAGAAACACACAGTAGAACACTTATCAGTCATGGACTGGCATTCCCAGAATACCGACTTGAACATTATTGAAGCAGTGTGGAATCATCTTTATAGAGAAGAGAACAAAAGGAAGCCAACATCCAAAGAAGAGCTTTGAATATCCTTCAAGAAGCCTGGAGACCTATTCCAGAAGACTACTTAAAGAAATTACAAGAAAGCCTGCCTAAAGGTGTTCAGGCTGTGTTACAGAATAAAGGTGGCCATAACAAATACTGAGCTTTGTGCCAACTCTTTTTTTTTTGCCTTATGTACTGATTTTCCATATATTTCGGCACCCATTTCCCATTGTAGCATTAAGCCTCAAAACATTTGCACTTTTCCATCCATCCATTCTCTTCCTTTTATCCTTTTCAGGGTTGTGGGGGTGCTGGAGGCTATTCCAGCTGTATTAGGGCGAGAGGCAGGGTACATCCAGTACAGGTCGTCAGTCTGTCACAGGGCTAACATATAGACACACACAACTATTCGCACTCACATTCACACAGGGCAATTTAGGGTTTTCAATTATACTAACTCCATGTCTTTGGACTGTGGGAGGAAACCAGAGTATCTGGAGAGAACCCACGCACGAAGAATGCACTATATTTGTCATGTATTGCATAGCATGTTAATAGATGTTTGTCAGCTTTTTATAAATATTCTTTTTGTGACTGTGGTGAAAAGCAGGTTCCTAAAGAAAGACAGCAGATTATGTCTTTTTGCTATACCATCCATCACGTGTTACCTGTATGGCGAGGGCCCGTGTTACTACTGCTCTGAGGTACTGCATTGGCTCCTCTGGTCCCTCCCATTTATTCTGCCATGTTAAAGGACACTGAGACAAGAGGAAACAAGCACAGAGAATAAAGGTCAATGCAAGCAATAATAAAAGCAAAAATCACAAAAATGAGTATAAGCAAAAGAGTGATGTAAACCATGTTTTTTAAAAAACAAAACAAACAAAAACAAAACAGGGGTACTCTGCAGGTTTACTCTGCCACTATGTGAACCTGCCTCTATTTCCTTCTCCTAACCATGCTGGCAGCCAAGCCACAGTTAATCTGCAGGAGGACTGCAGCAACATCAGCCCCTGTCGAGTTGCCTTGACACGATTCAAAATACAAATTTAACAATATGTGTAAGTCACTGAAGGGCACGCTGCGCCCAGCTACATCCTCACTGTGGTCCAGCTAAAATGCAATCTATATTTAAGTTTCTGTGATGTCACTGGTGACATGCCCTCCTCAATTTCTGTCATGACATGCAAAAAAGTTACAGCTGGGTGATACTGAGATAAATCTCAGGCACTATTTTATATATTGTAAAAATACTGAATATATTTGTGACTTGTTACAATGCTAACTTAAACTTTACAAGTGAAAAATACTCTTGTGTTCATAAACAGTACTGTCTGTCTGTCTCCTGATGTAAGTAACTGTTGCAGATCCACAGACAGTCTTGTCTGTGCAGCAATATCTGTAATGTCTTAATTTGGAAGTCACAGAGAAATGTAAAATGTTTGCAGGGTTGGGAAAGGAAAGCTTTCTCAAGAGAAGAATGTTAACTCCTGAACACGTTAGGCCGTGTATGTTACCGTTAAACAGAGATCAAAGATTTGACTCACACACACATGCACAAACATGCACAGCAGGAGGCTGAGAATTGAGAATTTGGTGGTATTTAGGCATGAAAGGCATAATGGAAATAAAAGAGACTTTGCATGTCTCTCAGAAGCAAGTCAACCATTCACTCACTCACTCTCCTGCTGCGGGGATGGGTGTGTGTATGTATGTGTGTGTGTTGCACTGAAGTGTCTTAGGAGGAAAAACATGCTGGTTTAAGTTAAGTCACTGCCATTTGTAGGGTACAAATAAGTGTAAAATGCTGTTTTAATTATTCTTTTTTAACAAGATAAGGGTGGCAGAAAACAGAGACACAAACCAAATGTATACAGGAGTGCAATCAATATACACCAATCAGACATAACATCATAACCACCTACCTAATATTGTATTGGCACCCCTTTCACTCAATTGAATCCTGGATGCTCAATTGATTGAAATCTGGGGAATTCAGAGGCCAAGTCTGCACCTCATACTTGTTGTTGTGCTCTTCAAACCATTCCTGATCCATTTTTGCTTTGTGGCATGCCACATTATCCTGCTGAAAGAGGCCACAGCCATCAGGGATTACCTGATATGTTAATGAAAGTGTGTACAAGGTCTGCAACAATGCTTAGGTAGGTGGCAGGAGCCAAGATTTCCTACCAGAACATTGCCCAAAGCAGCAAACTGCCTCTGCTGGCTTTCCTTTTTTCTGCATCCTGGTGCCTCCTCCCCAAGCGAGCAGTGAACACACACCCGGGTCATGCACATGATATGCATCAGACCAGGCCAACTTCTTCCGTTTCTCCATGGTCTAGTTCTGATACTTATGTGCCATTGCTGGGGCTTTCAGCAGTGGATATGGGTCAGCATAAGCACCCCGACTGATATATCCCGCCCACTAACAGGTGCCATAATGAAGAGAAAATCTGTCTTAATCACGTCACCTGTAAGTGGTCTTAATGTCATGCCTGATCGATATATGTGTTGATAATATGTTGAATAACTACTTTTTGGTTACAAACCCAAGCTACTATGATGATTATTAGTATTGGTCTGCGAATTACTACAAGTGGTACTGAAAATCTAACTGACACCAGAGATTACTTCACCTTTAATCAAAAAGCCATTTCCTCATCGGTCACCATGTCCTGATAATTATGCTCTTTCTACCAAATGAAGGTAGTGGTAACACTTTTTCTGTCTTGCAGCACTGCTTATGACTCTCATACAACCCAAGCCCCCCATCAGAAAGTAGGTAGTTTGGGTTCTTTCCAATCATGTAATTATTTTTTACTGCACAGCTGAGAGAAAGGGCAGCAGAGCTGATCCCCTCAGAACTGTGTCTGCTACACTTTTACATTATCACAACCATAAATGGATAATGCATAAATTGCATCATCAGCTCATTCTAACCTTCTCTGATTTAAATGGGGTTAATTAGTAACAGTCGGTTATAATAGAAGCCCAAATGCAAAATGGCATTAATCCATGTGATCTGCTCATTGTATGCAACAGTATTTCCTGTAAAGACTCCAATCTAATTCATATTCTGTTTTGTTATAAAAGACACTAAATGCTCACTTAACTGTGTATCTGTTGTATGTAATTAGGATTTTTTCCAGTAATATTTAAAAAATTGAATGTGTAATACAAATTCAAGGCCTTACCTTAAGAAGCACTCGCTTTTATTTTACCAGTGCTATATCTGATCTCATATTTTAATTTTCTGCTTGTGTAAAAATGCTTGTTTGGTTCAATTTTCAGTGACATTTGTAGTAGTAGTAGTGCCCAGTCGCAACATAAGAACTTTAACAAAAAGAAAAGAAAAACAAACAAACACCCCCCCCCCCAAAACAGTGATTTTCTCAGCACCAAACCTGGCCACAGTGAGACAGAAAAACTCCTCAGTCAGGCACATGGAGGACAGCCAACTGCCTTGAACTTTTGGTGTGAGGGAAGAATATCATTGTCTGTTTAGTTTGCCCCCCTGGAAACCTTGGCTTTATATAGTCATAAATAACTGAAGCTGTACATACGTAATTACTTACTGCTTGGACAGTGATAAAGTTTCTTTAAATTACTGAGGTTTAAAATAATGTTAGAACCAAATATTATAGTCACGTACTGTAGCATTGCAGGGAGAATCGCATTTAGGCCAATTCACTCAGGGGCTTCTTGTCAGTGATGTAAAAATACTGCCAGCTAGGGTCACAGAAGTCATCAGGTGTTTGTTAAAAAATTTAGCTGCCAGTAAATTCGATGTATGCCGAGAATTTTGTGTTTCTGCAAAATGTGCAGCAGGAAACATAACAGCTGCTGCTGCTTTTTCTATGGTTCAACAACCTTTTTATACTCTAGGCAATATCTTTTTTGGCAAAACTCTGATTTAGTTGTCAAGAAATGCTCCCTCTCTGGGAGAAGCTTCACATCAGAGAGCTTCAAACAATATTGTGGGTCAAAATTAATGATCTTTTTTTAATATAAAAAAAGAAAAAAAAAGCTATGATAAAAAGTTATGACACTGAAAAACTTCTCCTGATCTATACAGCTAACAAAATGCATTTCTGTCTTTAACAAAAAGGTAAAACACAGTATCTTGATTATGCATATTACAGAAATTAAATCTTTAGACAGGCCATAAAGGAAAAGGCTCAGAATAGGCTGAACAGAACTCTTATAAAACTTGTATAAAAACTGTGATTGCATCTGTTTCATATACAGCACTGAGGAGTTACATAGGTCAGTTAAAATGGACGACAAGGTATGATCTTTTAGGAAAACAATGTAAATAATGTTAAAGGTTAAACACTTAAAAGTGGAAATCAGACTTTAAAAAAAAAGTTTTTATTTAGACCATAGTGTGCTAAAAGCTGATGGACAGTGTTTTGGGGTTTTTTGTGATACAGAATTATAATTGAGATATAAATTAGATGTATATTAGAGATATAATTATAAATTATAAAACAAATGGCTTTGTTTTATTTTATACATTTGTACAGTTCCCATTGATAACTGACTTAATTGTAATTACATATATTTTTAAACCACTAACATATTTTATTATTTTGAAATTCGGAATAGATTTTAAATATCAGAACATGATAAAAAGTCCAGTCTTTAGTAGGTCTTATAAGGTACACATAACCTGAGATGAACTACAAAGCATTACACATTACACAGTGACATTTATTGAAACAAACAAACTACCCAAAATGTAGAAGACGTGTGGAAAACGAAGTAGACCCTTCTTGTTTCAATAGCAATTAAGAGGGTCAGTACCAGCAAGGTGGTAATAAACCAATGCATAGTGGTCATCAGCAAGTACGAACGAACACCTCTATAAAAGCAAAGGTTCTGGCAGTTTGCTGGTCTGGAGCATGTTAAAAGAAGCTTTTGTTGTTGCCCATCAATCTAGGAAGAGTTATAAGGCAATTCAAAAGATTTTAAAGTCTATTTATTGATAAAGATTATTCACAAGTGGAAAACATTCAAAATTGCTGCCAATCTTCCCATCAGTGAACATCTCAGCAACTTCCCCCAAAAATCACACCGTGCAATGCTCAGAGAAACTGCAAAAGGGTTGGATCATAGATTCTATAGGTTTCAGAATATTATCTGTTGTTCTTTGAATAAATGAGACCAAAGTCGAGATGTTTGGCCATAATTTTGTTTGGAGAAAATCATACACAGTATATCGGCACAAACACTAACTGTCAAGAATGGTGACAGAAGGGCGATAATTTTGGCTTGTTCTGAAGCCACAGGACCTGTGCATATTGAAGTCATTGAGTTGACAGTCAAATCCTTTGTATACGAGTCAGATATGATACCGTCTGTCTGACAGCTTAAGCTTGGCCAAATTGAGTCCTGAAACAGGTCAGTGATCCCAACCGCAGCAGCAAACAGCAGCGGTCCGAGTCAAACTCCAAACCACAACAGGAAAGAAACACGTAAATCCCCGCAAATGTCAATGAACTGAAGCAACATCATAAAGAAGCATGTGCCAAAATTCCTCCACAATGATGTGAAATACTGATACCGTCAGCTAAAAGTGGTTCTTTGGGCTACTGGATCACTGGGTGTTCCTTGTCTTACACACACCGTTTCTAATTTTTGGCATAATTTTTGTTAAACAAACAATGACACAATGAAATATGTTGCGAGCTGTTGTTTCCCTATCTGAAGTTGCATTTTCCTAATTTGCCTGGTAAGAACCACATGATTTTTTATTATGTCCTGATAATATAAAAACCTTAGAATAGACAGAGGGTGCACTTTACTTTTACCATAACTGCATATTAAAAGAAAAAGCTAGCAAGATAGAGAAAATGTAAGGAAATCAAAGATTGGAAAATGTGACAGATAAAGACTGGAGCTGGTCGAGAGGGCAATGGAGATACGACTAAAAAAACCTGCTGATTAATACAAAAAGAGAGAGAAGGCAAGCAGCGAAACAGGAATTATGCCCAAGGCTTCTCTCTGGAGATTACACATAGAAGGAGTGAAAGGTTGGATGTGTCTCTTCTTCTCTACCTCATAATATCCCCTTTGTCCCCAACTCAGCCTGAGGACATACAAGGATACATATTGTGTTTGCTACATGTCTACATGTCAGCTCTGTATACTGTGTATGGGCCTGTCCCTGTGGCCTTCATTTCACCACAGAATAAAAAGAATTGCAGTCCCCCTCTAAAACAATATGGTAAAAAAGAAAGCTTTACTTTACATTGTCACTGTCACTGAAGACAGAGCTAACTGTGTATTTTATGGTAAGAGTTAGAAACCTTCAGCAGCATTGTAGAAAGATTTAAGATAAATGTGAGTTAAAAGATGCATTGCATACAGCATTTGGGACTCTGTGTGCATTTGTAATACTATCAGGGTAAGGCCTTCCATTTTATTTTCAATTGTATTCCACATTTATTGCACTAAGCCCCATTTAATAAATCATCATGAGAAACATTAAAAAAACTCTAGATAACACATGTACTCAAAAGCATAAAATAGCACATTGAGTGTTAGGGTTGAGTTTCTCTGTCTTTTGCCTGTCTTACCTCTTGATTTAGTAGGGCAGTGGCCAGTTTCTGGACTTCTGGAGTTAACAGTTGAGTCCCTCGGATGACCTTGCTCAGTGCGGCCAGAGACTGGTGTATACTCTGTGATGACACTTACATTTTACATACAGTACATACTGTGCAAAAAAATACAATCATTAAAGTCATCAAACTCATTAAAGATATATGCTGTACACTCAAGCCCCAAAATACCATGACATTCATTCACATGATCCTGACCACAACTGTGTGTTTCATAATGAGGCAAATGGCTATTGGATGCAGGTAGTGATCAAGCCTGCTTCCACTGATTGCCTTGGTTCATTTAACCCCCCCCAACAAACAGATAACTGTGAGTGTCTAGAAATGAATAAAACTATTCCATGAGATAAGTAACATACTTAAACAATCAATGAAGGGAAATTAGCTTATGCATCTCCATGGCTTTTAATCTTAATCAGTTTTTTCAGAAGAAACAAAGCAAGCTTTATTTACATACAAGTCTCAGTCTTTTACTCCATGTTGAATTAAACACGGTGGGTACCACTACCTAACCCCCCCCCCCCCCAAAAAAAAAAAAAGTATTCGGATACTGTAATTATGTGGTAGCCCATTTTGAATGTAGCTATCATTTCTAATGTTTTTACCCACCTGGACCAAGCGGATGGCATTGAACTGTTCCAGAGAAATGAATGAAAGGACTGGTGATTTCTGACTCTCTGTAGGTGGGTCCACCTTCTGGTGGATTAGTGTAGAACCCTGATAGATGAGAGACATGAGAGAAACTATGAGAGAGCTATAGCTATTTGAGTCTACTTGTTCCAATACAGAAATGATCACTGTACATCAATGTGAAGTTGTTCAACGTGATCACCTTCATCCTATGAAAAAAATATTTCTTTCTGACGAGTGCTCTCTTTCAAGATTACAATGCTCTCATCTGTAGTTAACTGTATATAAATTGCACTGACGTGAAATGACAGTGCTCTGTACCACAATCATCGAAACAGAATGAGGGGATGGTTCCACCCAGTAGAGTTCATAAGACTTTCTGAGGGGCTTTTAATGTGTTCTAGTTCAGTGTATGGAACTTAATGTTGATTTCTCATTTCATTTGCAACATGTATTGTCTACATAATACTCAGAGTAAGATGTATGTTCACTTTAGGAACTCCTGCTACATTAGCATGCTATCTTTCCCCCTTATACAGTACAATGGTAAAATATTATCTATGGATTTCCATATGGATCATTGTATATATGCATATACTAAATTCCTACAGTAACATCATATTACTAAACAGAATTTCTTTTCTTGCTCCACACAGTGCAAACACAGGGGTGGAGGTTGAGCACTTGTTTACATTAGATAAACACTTTGTGTTCTGTATACAAAGTATACCATACAGTATACAGATAGGTTACAAAAAATATACAAATAAAAAATAGAAAAGCTTGGATTTTGTTGTAATCTATTAGAACCATCACACTCTATACCTGGATTCTATTTTGCTTTCCTTGCAACAACTCAGTTAGAGAAAGAGGCAAAAAAAGAGAGGAAGAGAAGGATAGCAGGACCAAGGGATGAAGACAGACAATGAAGAAAAAAGCTGGTTGGACGGGATTCAGATTGACTAGAGCTCAGCTATTGTTTCCATTTAAAAATGTAACTAAAAAGCCAAATAAACAGTCTCTGCTGTATCATGCTCTGCCCATGTCTTTCCAGACTACATAATGATTTGCCAAAAATAAATGTGTCTGTACATTTCCACACACACACACACCTCTCACATATTTTCCACAAACCATAAAGGTTTGCACACACAACCAATGCACACGTGCAAGTACGTGCATTTAAATGGCACACTGGGAAGTTCAGATCCACTGAGGGTCAAACAACAAGGTTGGTTGATGACAAAGGGATAGTTAATTGAAAGCAGCCAGAGGTTGATTGTGATCTATGGAAAGCTTGCTGGTGACATAATGGCAACAATTAACACAGTTAACCATTTTCCTTTCAGTAAGTACAAAACAACTCCATCTACAAGAGACTGAAAGAGCAAGAAGAGAGACAGAAAGAGAGGAGACATAAGTGTAAATGAGAGAGGAGACAGTAAGCATGTGTGCTTGACAGCATGAGAGGCAGAGAGAGGAGACTGATACACGGTGACTAAATTGTTAAAAGGTGGAGGCAGATGTCCTTTTAATTTGAAAACGTGCCAGTCTCCAAGCAACTGCACACAGCAGTACTTCTTGGCCAAGCAAGCCACTGTGTGTGACAGCCTTTGACAGTACTAGTAATATCCGATTACTTCCCACAACTTTTAATTAGGTGTCACGACCCTTGTTGTCTGTTGGTTTTGTTAAGTCCCTTTGTGTTCCTAGTTTTTCCATTACCCCCCTGCCTTCTGTATTCCCTGTCCCCTGTCTTCATGTTTAATGTTAGTCTTCATGCTTCAGTTATTTTAATTGTCTTTGTGGTAATGCTGTTTTACTTGGAAGGTTAGTTGTCTCACCGTGGCTTTACTTCCTGCTTTTGGGTCTTTCCCTCTGCTGTGACCCTCATGTTGACCTGTGTTTGATTGTATTCAAATGTGAACAGTCTGCCCTGTCTGTGCATATAGCCTTGCCTCTCCCCTTCTCCATTTGCTTCCTGTATATCTACGTATTGTTCTTTTTTGTTGCCAACTGGACTGTGTGTTTCTCCAATTTTTGATCATTCAATAGTTTTCCTTTTTTTTTAATTTAATTTGCCTCAGAGTCATGCACTTTGGACCTCCACCCATTTCTGATATTACAACTAGTTGTTGTTGATGTGCAGTGACAGTAGAAATGCTGCAGTATTAGTATGGTTAGACTTTTTAAAGTTACCTAAATCAAGGCAAATGAAGTCCTTTAAAGCTACAGATGCAGCTTTCCAATTTGGTTTGCAGGAAAAGGGCAACAAAAAGTAATGGGTCAATAAAAAGTCAATATGAAATGGTAAAGACAGCTAACCTGGTTGAGTTTCTTCCATAAGTTCAGGATAGGTGACAGTCCATTTGACCAGAGCTCCCTGTCAAACTTTGAACCTGTTGCGACTGAGCGACTCAGGATGCGCAGTTGAGAAATTACCTGTAAACAATTAAAACACAAAGAGTCAGTGGTATGCTGCATGTGCTCCTGTAAGAATAAACGGCCTATTTTTTTAAAACACCACTCATATAATTTGAAGTAGGCACATGAATTTTGACTCCCATATGTAAAACCCCAAACACTGTTTCAGGCCCTGTAATGTTGAAAAAAAGAAGAAGAAAAGAGAACCATAAACACGCCTCCTTACATACCTAATCAGCCAAGCTTAGCTTCAGGATTAGAATCTTGGACAGTACTTTTATCTAGACTCAGTGTGTCTGTGTGTGTGTTTTGTGATAGTGCAAGTTTCCACTTATGTCTGTGTTACAAGTAAAGCAGCTTGTCTGATAAATGACTTTCATTTGGTCCAGGAGAACTCTTTACTAACATTTGTTTTATCTTCTCTGCTCAGGAGGAAAACGGTATATATGTGCATTTGCACACATGTCTGTTCGAGTACATCAAAGAGGGAGATGAAGGTAGGATTAAAAAAATCCTAATCTAAAATTGAATTGACAGCAATATGAAGGAGGTTGATATCAAATATAAGGTGATTCAAATAGTAATTTAAATATATTAAGATAACCAAGATTTTAATAAGCTGAAATTTCTGCCATAATTGTCTGGGGATAAAAAGTTACTGGACATTATACAACTTCATGCAGTCAATTTACTCAGTTTTTCCACATTATTTCAGTATAACAGTATTCTAGTTTAGGGTTGTTAATAAGTCAAGCTGATTGATAAATTGAGCATAACAGAGTGAAAATCACAGATGCCACAGAAGGCACAGATGCCATTATATCTAAATATATAACCAGAAATGAACAGAAGCAGTATACGAGAGAGCTTCTGTGTATATGCAAGATTTGGAGAAATAAATCTCTCTGCATTTAATGTCTTTTTTTTTCTGTTATTGTAGTTGTAATGGCACAATGATACATTTTCACATGCTAGTTTTATCCAAAGTGCTTATCTTTGACATTGTGCATAAAAACTATGAATGCAGGAAATCATACCTCAAGCCTTTTGTAAAGACATTTCAAACCCGTGTCAGGTAATTGGTAAGATTAGACATTTATATTTAATGGTTTCCACAAAATCTGCAGATTTTTCCCCAGGACCTCTTTAGTGTATGTGGTTAACAGCAGAACTCAAATACAGTGAGAGTAAAGAAGGGACACATTTTGGGGAAAGGGTAGAGAAAAAGAGAGAAGATGAAAGTGACAGTGACAAATGACACCAGGATGGGAGACAATGACATATGGGGGAGATAGGTAGAGAAAGAGACACAGTAACAGACTCACATAAGTGGTCTTGTGGGAGTCGTATGAATTAAACTAGGTTGGTGGTTCCAGTGATCAGCAGACCACACTATGAGTGAATTTAATTGTATTAAAAACCACATGGGGATTGTCCTTACAATCTGTAAAGGTTGCGTGTGGTTGAACTGAGGATAATTACAATCAGAAGACACAAAAAAAGGAGCAGCAGCTACTTTCAGCTGTTCACTTATTCACAAGGTTTCGCCACAGTGGGAAGTTCCACATGTTTGATTTGACAGTTGTTGTTTTTTTTTTCTTTTAAATGCTGGATGTCCTTACTCATCCGAGTCCAGAAGGATTTGGGTCATCTCCTGGAATGAATGGATCTTTTGCTTGTAAACTCCGACAGTGTGGAATCACTTAAAATCACAAGATATGCAAAGTGTAAAAATCTTCTGAGAAATCAGTATCTGTATCAGTAGAGATCTTCAATGCAAACCACCAGCGACCACAGAATTACGCTATTGGTCAAAGCAATTATGAGGAGAACTTTGGTGCAGCAAATCTCTCCTAGTGACAGCCAGCAACCAGTCGCCAACTGGTCAGGGAATAGACATTTGTCCCTAATGCAATGTTGACCATCTCCAGACCTGTGTGACTGAGACTCTATGTAAATGTGGCCAATCTCACATTGAAGGTCATCATCTCAGACACTGACCTAAAATCTTCAGTATTTTCAGTGGACTCTAAGGGGCACAAGATAAGATCATCTGAATGTTCTCCTTCAGACTCCTTAGGACAATACAGTAGATCTTTACACTGACAGTCTCATCCTGGGGGTCAACTGAATGCTGCCTTTGAGCTTGGAAACTGCAAAATCTTCAACAGAAAACCGCTTGGTCACAGTCAGTGACGATCCTTCACATGAAATTTGGGTCAGTTTTAACAAGAAGATGATGCTAGCTCTAAGTTTGATGTCAGTGGTAAAATCACAGAGGGCATAAAGCAGGAAGTGGCAGTAGCAATCTAAAAATAGCTGAAAGCTCTCTGGATATGTCCCAGAACATGATCTTGAATGTAGGATGAGCAAGATTTTAAAAAGATCATACCTTGTACAAACAGAAAAACGCAGCAAAACGAGCTCATTGTAATGTCATCGCAATGTCACGTATTCCATTTTCATTTCATTCTTGCTTTGGTTCTATCAGCATGTTTCTTACGAAAACAATGATTTGGTTCTTTAAAATAAATGAACCCTTATATGTGCTCATGTTTTGGTTACTCATCCAATTTACACTAAAGCATCTTTATTTTCAAAAATGAATTCTTAACAACGATACCAGGCTTGAATGGAAAACAATGGAAAAACATATACATGTTCTTTTCTGCACAAACGACAATGATAACAAACATGCTATTGTAAAAAAAAAAAACTCTTTCTCCAGTGCATGCAACAAGCAAGGTTTAATTGTGGTGTGTGTGTCACATTTATACTATTTCATCTTTCCTTTAGGGTTAAAAAGATCTTGGATTTTGCTTCCTCTTATAGATTTTGTAGCATCTGGCCAAAGTCCAGGCCAGTTCCTCAAAGACAACTGGCTCTTATGCAGCTTCCTTCACATGTATTATAGGTCAACCTTTCTACCATTTCGACATTTGCACAATATCACAAGTGGCAGAATCAAATCAAAACATATTTTTCTGCTTCACAGAAAATCTGTAAAAGAATAAAAATCAATAAGTCTCAGCCTGAAAAAAATAATTACCTGAATGTGTAAAGTAAACACCAAAGACAGGTTCTTTCCAAACACTACACACAGATTCATATATTACATAGACTATATAGTTTGTATTATTAGATGTGAATATTGCAAAATTCAAATGATATGTTCACAGTCAGTGAACAATGCAGCCATGCAACCTTCAGTCTATATCCTGCTTCTGTCTTTTAAGATTTTCATCTCCCTCAAACTCACACTAACACACACACACACACACACACACACTGAAATAAAACATATTGTGTGTTTATGTGAGACTGTGTTACACTGTATTACATCAGAATCTGCAGTGACCATAAACCATTAAACACATTCACACATACACACCAGGGTTTTCCATCCTCTATAAAGGAAGAAAGTACTTGGCAGATTCAACTTACTATGCAGATTTTGCTCAAAGCTCCATAGGCTGAAAAACACCAACATCCATTTTAATCAGCTACAATCATCTATACAAACTGTCAGACTCAATATCTGTGAAGTAGTGGTAAATGTATTTACGGCTGAAATGTTATTAGAAACCCTCAAGTTGCTTCGGTTTATTGTCGTAAATGAACAAAACAGATTGAGTGCAGCTTTTGCAGAGTTTGCTTATATAGCTCAACGCAAGAGCTAACACAGATACACATCAATCTTATCTGATGCAAAATATATGAAATATTGCCATACACTTGTTCGGATGATAAACGTCGACTTTCTGATGTTATCAAATGTTCCTTAAAATGATAACTACATGCAAAAATCATCATATTGTGAAAAATGTTATTTTGAGATTTTAAGGTTTTGGTTTTAATTTGCATGAGACATGATATTGAAATGAATGAAATTATGGTTTACAAAATTAGGAAAAAAATATTATCAATGTTATTATTTATGCAATTAGTTTATGTAAGAAAAATATTTTATTAATTATAAGTCATATTAATATGGTATCAAAACTAAACAGATGGTTCACAGTTGATTTTATCACTGCCATACCACCAACAAACACATACATTCTTTAAACTGAATTATAAAGTATCATAAATACAAGTTTCAACTTTATAATATCCAGGGTTCATTTATTTTAATGTTTAATAAATACTGTGTAATGAATGTATAAACAGTTTTATAAATGTCAGCTGCAACTTCTAATGACATCCTGATAGTGTTTACAAACTAACTATTAACCAAATATTAAACATTTTTAATTGTCAATGACTTGTTGCCTTGACGAGAACAAAAGTTTTTGTATTTACTGTCAATGTGAAAGTTAGCGCTGTAGTACATTGAGTCTCAAATACCCAGATCCCTCGTCTCCTAGGCCAAAAGCAGACTATGCTTGATAAGTTTTAAATGAGACATCTACGTAATTCTACATGCAACAAACTTTCAACATCCATCCATCCATTCGCTTCCGCTTATCCTTTTCAGGGTCGCGGGGGGTGCTGGAGCCTATCCCAGCTGTCATAGGGCGAGAGGCGGGGTACACCCTGGACAGTTCGCCAGTCTGTCGCAGGACAGACAACCATTCGCACTCACATTCACTCGCACATTCAAACCTAGTGGCAATTTGGATTATCCAATTAACCTATCCCCACAAACTTTCAACAACCATAGCTAAATGAGTACTTACAGCTTGCAGGTAGTTACATTACATGAGAGTACGGTATGTGCTTGAGTGTACTGGGCATTTTTTATGAGCATGCGGTACTTTTGAGTCTTTTCTGGAGAATATTCTGATTCGTTGTCATTGTTTTGGAATGTTGCAATAATAATAAACATACATGTGAATAAAGCGAGCATATTTGTCCACCCGAATACTGGGAAAATTCTGTTAAAATACATGTAGAATAGATTAAAACATCTGCTATAATTCACCAGGGCGAACGGGCAATCATATGATTCATGGTGATAAAATATTTAAATCAACTAAAAACCCTAGCCAGTGGGCAAAGGCGGTATTTGTCATTGGATGATTGGAAAACAGATATGAAACAAACGCCCAACAGTTAGCAGTAAGAGAAGGGGTATCTTTAACCAGACTGCCCTGAACTCTATTTTTCCAAACTGTGTTACACCTTCTGCTCAGCTTCTCTGTGGAGAAGGATATATGCTGCAGCAGAATAAAGACCCTAACCTCAAAGCTTTGCACCTTCTGCTTGAAGATCAAAGAGGAGGACTGACTTCAATGATTGTGACTTTTTGACAGTCACCTGACCTCAACTGTACATCTATGGCGGCACTTGAAAAAGTGGAAAAAGCCAAGTATTTCTGACATCACAAGGAGCTCTTTGGAACACTGTCAAATCACGCTGAGATGACATGGCTTATCATGTGGAGTCTACGCCAGCACTGCCAGGATTGCTGCTCCATCCCTCCAGTGGAGTTCCACTGACTTATGGGATCAGTGCCAAGGCGCACTGAAGCTGCTCTGGTGACACATGTTGACCCAACACCTCGCTAAGACAATTTGAGTTGATTTTCTTTTCATTTTTCATCTGTATACATGCAAGACTGATGTGAGCTGCAGGCGATATGAGCACATGTGCTTGTGTGAATAGGCAGACTGCTGTGTGTGGGTGCACCTGGGAGCTGACGATTCTCTGGGAGGATCTCGCTATGTTGGCAGGCAGACCAAAGAATGCTGGCCTGTCATCCTCTGGGAGATTCTCTATTACTCTGCGGTAGTCCTGGGAAGACACGCAGACCCATACAGGTCACACATTGACACACACCCATATAAAGAGAGAGAAAATTAAAGCATTCTGCCAATTTATGTCATGGCTTTAAGACAAAATACATTTTTCCATTTCTAAGCAACAATATCAAATTGAAAAGTAAAATCTTGTGGCATGCTTGTTAGATTTCTGTATGGGTGTATGGGATTAATAATGCAATACTGAGCTCATTAGGGTGTATTGTTTGTAACAGTTTGATGCAGGTTTTTTAACAACAAATATTTGCCTTGAATAGGGCTTTAAAAGCCTAAATTACTAAACTGATCTCCCTCATCACTCACTGCTAAATGCTAAATTCTAGCAATAGACTGTCAATTCAAATGATAGATTTCTATATTGATTGTTTTTTTAAACAAATGACCTCTCAGTGATTCTGTGGAATGAACTAACTTCTGGAAAAGAAAATATAAACAGAAAGCAGAGCAGCAGAAAAACAGAACCACTTACTTTAGAGTTATTGCTGACATTTATTTGTAGTGGCTACTTTATAAACCAAGCGAAAATGAAGCTAACACCAGACAGAAGTTAAACACAAACCCCAGCTAGTGAATCTAATCAACCATTTTTGCTTCTTTGTCACTGGACGTGGGCTCATGAAGATGTAAACAAACTATATAAACTTTCACCTTAAGCTTAAAGATGCATATATTTCTAATGCACATATATTTCTTAATAATAAGTATATGTACAACTAGGTGTTACATGATGAGTGTTCCCAAAAACCTACCAATATGGCACAAGAGTTTGGGAGGCTTATCTGAGGTGGAAAGAATCCTCCTCTGCTTTTTCTCTGTCCAGCAGAGTGGGAGGATGAAAGGAGACGTGCGGAAAAGAACTGCTCAAGGTAGGAGCGCAAGATGCGGAGGTCAGACGGGTTGTCAATACGTCCCCCATAGATAGCATTCTCCAACAGACCATGGACAAACTCCCACTGAAATTGTTTACCACCTTAGAGATATCGAGACATATAAATACACAAATAAAAAGCAGGGTCCACACAGAAGGTAAATAACACAGAGATGCGAATGCTGAATTGCCCAGGGTATGCTCTTTCATAATTGGTCGTCAAAGAAACACGGTCATAAAAGGCAATCAAAGAAACAAGAGATTATCATGTGCAGACAAAAATGCAGAGCTTTCTGCTGAATTTACACATTTCATCAGCGTCCTACCTTCAAAAAGCCTGTCGATAATCTCAAAGCCAGCACGAAGGTCTGACAAGGAAAACTCATAGAACTTTGTCCAGCCCTGCAGATAAATCAGAGATAAGCGTACAAGTCAGTACAGAAATGACAAATGAAAAGTGACAAAAAACCTCTGGACTTTATTTAGATCCAAAACTCCATCGAAATTTAAAATCCAGATGGAACTGAAAGTACAAAGTTTAATAAGTCGATAAAACACACATTTTCACAGCACTGACCATTTCTGTAAAAACAAAAACAAACGAAAAAACATTTTGATTTTTTTAATTTGATTACATCACTTCACTTAATCACCTGTTGTAAACTGCCCACTGTAGGTGGATGAGGTGAGAGGTGTAGGAAAACTGTGTGGGCATCTTTCAGTGATTAAGTGTATGTTGTTTGTCCAGCAATTGTGTGCCTGAATGTGCGTTCAAAGACTTTTGTGGGACACGTTTCGCAGGGCCTAATAAATTCGCTTACAGTATAAGTGTCAACATTCACAAGTTTGTAGGCTTTTGTATTAAGAAAATGCTGCTTATTGAGCCACTGTTTAATTTAATGTATGGGTTATATTTGTGCTTACTGACTGTAAGCACTTCAGATGGTGTGCTATAAAATCAGTAATTTACCAGACATAGCTAACCAGTCAGCTTGTTGTCCTTTGGCCAAATGTTAATCATTCATACACACACACACACACACACACACACACACACACACACACAC